CCTTAAACTATTTTTTAATTTGAGGAATTGAGATATCATATGCATACCGTGAATGTTAAGTGTACAATTTAGCAAATGATGGTAAACCTATACCTGCACAAAACACACAGCCTCATCAAGATGCAGAGTATTTTCATCACCCTGGAAAGTTTCCCTGTGCCCTTTCTCATCAGTCTCCCCCCACCCCAGAGAACTACTACTTTTATTTCTATGACCATAGGTTAATTTTGCCTATTGTAATTTCATTTGAAGTACTCTTGTGGTTGGCTTCTTTCACTCAACATTATGTATTTTATTGAGAGTCAACCGTGTCATTGCACATGTTGGTCGTTTCTTATTGCTCAGTCTATTTAATTGTATAAGTGTACCAGTTATTCATCTTTTGTCCTGTTGTTGGACAGATGGACTATTTCCAGTTTTTAGCTTTATTATGAATTAAACTGCTATTAACATTTTTGTGCAAAGTTTTTCTGGCTATGTTCTCATTTCTCTTGGATAAATTCCTAGGATTGAAATTGTTAAGTCATAGGATAGCTAGATATATAACTTTTTAAGAAAGAAACTGCCAGTTTTCCAGAGATTGTATTGTTCAAAACTTCCATTAGCACAGTCTGTTTGTTCCACATCCTCAGCAGCACTTGACATTGTCAGTCTTTATTACTTCTGTTATTCTTGGGAGTGGTTATGCCAGGGGAGTGGTAATACATTGTCATTTTAGTTTGCATTTCCCTGATGAGTAATGGTATTGACCATTTACCTTTACTTATTGACCATTGGTATATTTATAATTTTTAATGTTGTTCATCTTTTTATTACTGAGTATAAGTCTTCATTAATTACATGCATTATGACTATTTTCTCAAGTCTGTGACTTGCCTATTGATTTTCTTCATGATGTCTTTTTAAAAAAATTTTCTTCATGATGTCTTTTGTAAGAAAGTTTAAAATTTTGATGACGTCTGATTTATCAGTTTTCCCTTTTATTTTTAGTGATTTCTGTATACCATCTAAGAAATATTTGCATACCTACAGGTCATAGGAAGCCCCCTTGTGGCTCAGATGGTAAAGAGTCTGCATGCAATGCAGGAGACCCAGGTTCGATCCCTGGGTTGGGAAGATCCCCTGGAGAAGGCAATGGCACTCCACTCCAGTACTCTTGCCTGGAAAATCTCATGGACAGAGGAGCCTGTCAGGTACAGTCCACAGGGTCGCAAAGAGTCAGACACGACTGAGTGACTTCACTTTCAGTTTCACAAGTCACAGAGATAGTCTTTCTTTGTAGTTTTAACTTTTATATTCAGTTTTTAGCTTTATATTCTTAGCCTTTATGCTTATGACTGTGACCTAGCTCAAAACAGTTTTGAGTATAGTGTGAGGTAGGGGTTAAGGTCTATTGGTTCCCAAATAGATGTCCAGTAGTTCTAGCACCAGTTGTTAAAAAGGCTTTACTTTACATTTTGAATTGTTAAGTAAAACTACCTCCCAGAGTTGACTAAGGCATGGTATTGCCTTCAAGAGCTTATAGTCTACAGAATAACTTTTGTACTGGAATTTATTGCTGACTTTTCATAAAGAATAGCATATCCGACTACTGTGATGCACAAAAAACATTATCCTTTGAGAAATAGGACAAGGCAAAGTTCATTTACCCCATCCAAGAGTAGTTTAAAATTAGTTAATGCAAATTGCTGGTTGTGGTCTGTGCTTTGCCAAGGAATGCAGTACAAGTAATAGTTTAACTTTCAGAGCGTTCTTGTATCTTTGTCCCCAGAAGCAAAAAAAAACACTTGAATGTATTCAGCTCTAGGTTACTATTATTATTAAGGCTTTAAAAGTTGTACCCTTAACTTTAGATGTTCATAGCATGAATAAATATTTTATTTTTGAGGGATTTAAAAATAAACACATCACTTTTAGATGCAATCCTTTGGATTAATTTTTAAGGAATTTTGTTTTACCATTCACATTTTTTTTTTAACAGTTTCAAAGTATAAATGAAACTCTTAATTGTATGGCTGTTGATCTTGCCCTGTATAGACTGTTATGCTGCGGACGTTGCTGCTTTAACACTTGTTATTTGTAGATGACAGCACTTACAGCTGCCACCATACTCTAGATGCTTTTAGGTGGCAAAGAGGTAATAAGTGCGTTGTCGTGGAAGAAGCATTAGACTAAGAGGCTCAAACACCTAGGACTTGGGACTCTAAGCTGCTTACAATGTCAAGGCAGTAATTTCTTTGTGCCTTAATGTCTTCTGGTAAGAAATTGGAAGAACCATACTAGCTTCCTGAGGTCAGTATAAGACATATATATGGTTGTTAAGAATGAGAGCTTTAAGATCAGGATAGTGAAAGTGAAAGTTGCTCAGTCGTGTCCGACTCTTTGCGACCCCATGGACTATGCAGTCCATGGAATTCTCCAAGCCAGAATACTGGAGTGGGTAGCCATACCCTTCTCCAGGGGATTTTCCCGACCCAGGGATCGAACCCAGGTCTCCTGCATTGCAGGCAGATTGTTTACCAGCTGAGCCACCAGGGAAGCCCAGGAATCCTGGAGTGGGGAGCCTATCCCTTCTCCAGGGGATCTTCCTGAACCCAGAATCAAACCGGGGTCTCCTGCATTGCAGGTGGATTCTTTACCAGCTGAGCTACCAGGTCAGCTAAAGCAGGGTAAAATGTAGACCCTTTACAATTTTTGATAAGTGCAGTATTTGTCACATAGGAAGCAACCAATAACTGCTGTTTTGTGTTGTTATTATTTTAATTTTAACTTTTATTAAAGTATAATTGACTTACAATGTGCTTAATTTCTGCTGTATAGCAAAGTAACTCAGTTATACATGTATCTATTCTTTTCATGGTTTATCACAGGATATTGAATGTAGTTTCCTGTGCTGGACAGTAGTACCTTGTCTATCCATCCTGTATGTAATAGTTTGCATCTGCTAACCCCAAACTCCCAGTCTTTCCCTCCCCTCCTCCACTCCCCCCTGACAACCATACGTCTGTTCTCTATATCTGCAAGTCTGTTTTTGTTATTATTTTATAAAGAAAAAAATCTGGCATACCAAGTCAAAGTCTTTTGAAAGTATGAGTATTCTACACATATTATATTGTATGACAGAATGAATTTGATATTTATCGACAGCTTGAGTAGAATTTAAATCAGTATTAGAGAACTGATTATAGATTTATGGGACTAAATGTGAGAAGAAGGTTAAGGTAATTCATCCATGAAAGAAAACAAATTTCTAATATAGCAGATAGTAGAAACAGCAAACTTTACCAAACTGGCAGAGAAATATGAACCACTCACAAAGTGCTGTTATAATAAAAATTGGCATAGATAGAAATCTGAAATTTATGAATGGTTAAGTCTTCCACCATGGTTAGACTTTTTTTAAACTTGCGCTTGTGTTTTTTCTTCTTAAAAATCAATACAAATCCACTCCACAACCACAAATCTCTTTGACATAAATCTTTTCTAACCTTGGGCTTTTTTTTAAGGCTGGTATGGGACATCACTCGTCAGGTCCTTAAGGAGATTTCTGTCTGACTGAATGCTCTGAAGTCACCGTCTTAGATCTTTCTGAGATCCTAGCAACTAATTGTATAGAACCACCCACCTGAATTTGACTTTTGCTCTGAGACCCTTCCTTCACTGGAGAATTTTGGAGAGGGTGGTGTAAGAAGCAGTTTTATTGGGTTTAGCTCCTTTACATTTAACGATTCTTCCTTTAGCTGTTGTCTCTCCTTTATATTTTACTATGAGCAGCAAGAAGACAGCAGGCAGCAGTTTCAACACCACGTGGAAAAATCCTTAGCTAGAACATTTTTCATTGAGTACATTTTCTACTTTCCGTGTTTACCACCAGTGATAGTGTTGCTAAATTTGCTGCTACTTCATAACAAGGGTGTGCCCTTTTCTCTACTTTCCAATAATATTTTTCTCACTTTTCTTTAAGCTTTCACTGACAGCCTCGTTGAAGGGTACAATACTTTGGCTAACAGTTCTGAAAGCCAAGGCAGATCCTGCAGGTGCTGGCCACTGGAAGCTGTCAGCTAACTGTATTTCCTGCCGCTGAGTCTCTCTTGAAGAGGGATGTGCGCAGTGTGCCTCCATGGCCACCACATGTGACATTCATGCCGAGCCATGCTCTACCACTTTTTTCCAATCTTGTCACCTAACTTTGCCTATGTCTCACTCTATGCTTTTGTTACACAGAAATTGTACTACCGCAAAGTCACACAAAATATTGACATATTGCAGGCTGAGTTAGGTGCCTCTCAGCATCCTAGAATAATATTTATAATAATATAATACTTTCTGGCCCTTTAATCTGTCACCATATTTATGACATTCTGTGATATTTGGATTCAGATCTTGACTTTGACACTAATCAGCTACATGACCTTGGTCAAGTTATTTGGTTTCTCTGTGTCTCAGTTTCTTCATTTTTAAAATGGGGGAAATAATATTCTTTTCATAGAACTGTAGGGATTAAATAAAATAATAGCAGGTAAGTGCTTAGAACAGAGCCTAGTATATATAAATGTTCAATAACTATTAGCTATGATCATCAAAGGATTCCCAGGTGGCTCAATGGTAAAGAGTCTGCCTGCAATGCAGGAAACTCGGGTTTGATCCCTGGCTTGGGAAGATCCCCTGGAGAAGGAAATGGCAACCCACTCCAGTATTCTTGCCAGGGAAGTCCGATGGACAGAAGCCTGGCAGGCTACAAGTTTGTGGGGTCACAGAGGCGGACACAGCTGAGTACGCACACACACACACACACACATGATCATTGATGATCTGAACTGACAGGACAGATTGAATTTTGTGGCTGGAGTGCAGGGTAAAACTGACAGAGTGGTGACTCTGACCCCTCAAAGTACTTATGTTTTTAGGGCCAGAATGCAGAAATGCCACCCCACGGGGCTGTGAGTAGATGGATGTCATCAGGAAAAACTTTATCAACCTTTTCCTCCCTTCTGGTCTAGGTCTGCAGGACAACCCATGGTTCTGTGACTGTCACATTTCCAAAATAATGTCATTGTCAAAAGTCGCTGACCCTGCAATAGTACTTCTTGATCCGATGATGGTGTGTAGTGAACCGGAACGCCTCACAGGGATTTTGTTTCAGCGGGCTGAGCTGGAGCAGTGTCTGAAGCCATCAGTGATGACCTCAGCTACCCAGATCACATCTGCTCTGGGCAGCAATGTCCTGCTGCGGTGTGATGCCACTGGCTACCCCACCCCGCAGCTCACATGGATCAGACCAGATAGCTCGCCAGTTAATTATACAGGTATCTTCTTAATTCAGGCCTTTGAAATAAGGTGTTTACAAATGTCTGAACTTAATCTTGTGTTTTTGTATGGTTTGAGATTGGCTGTCTATTGCTAATAAAATATTGCTAAGAGTGTTGAATGGAAAAATTTTGAAAGGTACACTTTACTGATTAGTATTTTCCTCAGTTTGTCTGATTAACCACATAGATGAAATTAGACAATCTTATTTTTTTTTTTCTTAGATGGAAAACAACATGATTCAGCATCTGGATGGTTGCAGATAGGCCTCTGTCTTTAACTTCCCTCCATCAGAGGAAAATTTTAAAAAAGCAACTCATGGTTTACCAGGTTATCTAAATGAAATATACTGTGAAAGAAAGGAACAGAAATTATGACTCCTCCATGCTAGAAGATGATCCATGATGCCTTCTGACTGTGTGGATAGTTGGCATTTTATTACAGTGAAAAAAACATTTTGAGAAATATTGAAGTAATGTCTTGTGATAAATATTTTATAGAATCACAGTGGGTTAAAATTGGAAGGGATGTCTGAGATCACTTTGTCTTATCCCCTTATTTAAAAAACATGGAAACAGAGGTCTAAAAACTGATAGCTTGTCTAGAATCACATGTTATTTAGTGACAAAAGTTTACTAAGGCCAAAATTTCTTAACTCTCAGCCCCATGTATTTTTAAAATACCATTTCCCATACAAACCTCATGTCACCTAGATTTCCATATAAACCATTTGCAGACCCATTACCTGCCTCCAGAGACTTGCAGCGTACCACTTCTCTCTCCGCTTATGTGAGAGGTATGCGTGTAGGACCAGAAATTGTTTACTTTTCAGTTGGCATGTTGCTTGAGTCTTTTCTTTTTTTTCTCACAGAGTATGCATTTCTCTTTATTCCAGTAATTCAGGAATCTCCAGGGGAGGGAGTCAGATGGTCCATAATAAGCTTGACGGGCATTTCTTACATGGATGCTGGGGATTACAAATGTAAGGCCAAAAATTTGGCTGGGATGTCAGAAGCTGTGGTCACCGTGACAGTGGCCGGTGTTGTCACAGCCACCATCTCATCAGATACTTCTGAAAGAAGGACTGGGGATCACCCTGAACAAGAGGTCCAGCCAGGATCTAAACGACCCGCATCTCTGCCTGGTTCATCGTCGTCTCCCTGGCCTCATTCCTCCTCTTCTCCCACTTTTCCTACTACTTCAGCTTCATCTCCTCCCTCCACTGCTTCCTCCTTCTCGTCTCCTTTCTTCTCCTCCGCTGTTTCTTCAGCTACAACGCCAGGCACTAGAATATCCACAGGCCCCGCCACGGCTAGCCGACAGTCACTCCGCCCAGATGGGAGAAGAAGTGCCAAGGCGGAGATGGGCGGCGGGAAGCTTCCCCCAGCTAGTGCCAGTAGGAGGGAAGAGCTGGCACTGCTGGACCGAGCCCTGCCCATGGAAACGAATGCCACGATAGAAAACCTCCAGGTGGTCAGCGAAACAGAAGGAAGCGTGATTTTGATGTGGGACACTGTTAACACCACCCAGACCCCGGAAGTGACCGTGTTTTATTCCAAATATGGTGAGAAGGACCTGCTGCTGCTTAACGTGAACTCCAGCAGGAACCAAGTCACCATAAATGGCTTGCTGCCTGGTTGGCAGTATATAGCGTGTGTCTGTCCAAAGGGAATGCCTCCCCAGAAAGACCAGTGTATCACCTTTTCTACTGACAGAGCTGAAGAAGAAGGTGATTCTCGAGAGTCTCTCCTGATGGTGGTGAGTGGCGCTGCCTGCGTTGCTGTCTTGCCGTTGATTTTTTTCCTGTTGTACAAAGTTTGCAAACTTCAGTGTAAGCCAGACTCCCTCTGGGAAGATGATTTGGCAAAAGAGACTTATATCCGGTTTGAGACGCTGTCCCCCAGGTCTCAAAGTGTAGGGGAACTGTGGACGCGAAGGCCCAGAGCCGAATCAGAAAAACTGCCACTCTGCTCTAGGTCAAGTGTGGAGTCTCCTGACTATTAAAAGTGAGGGTTCTGGATCGGAGTATTACTGCTAAGGTTCTACAGCTCAGGCACATGTGAGCTCCACAGAATTTCTTTCACAAAATTAAGGATCTAGGGATATAGTTGACCCTCTGTTTGGATGACTTTTGGACGTTTTTCACATCCTTTATGAAAAAAATCACACATGGAGTGCTTTTAAGTGTGTTTAAAAAAAATCATGAGACTTCTGAACTGAAAAGACAAATAATTTTGATTTTTTTTCTGTAGAAAATGTCCATAGAAATCATTTTTAGGGTAGTGCTAAAGTCAGTTAATAATATATTTTAGGATAATACTTTAGTTCTGAAAAATGAATTCAGGTGAAAATAGTCATAAAAAGTAAACTCTGGATTCTAAAAAGATAGCTTTTGGGGGCAGTGAAGAAAGATCAGTGTAACCAGCTAAGCCTCGCTGTTCATTCTTGTGCAAAGTGCTCTATGGCATCTGCTGTGCACGTTGCTGCCATTGCCTGGCAGAGTGGAATAGTGCATAATTTTGCTTTCACTGTGGTTAAATGCAACCCAGTGGACGGGGAGGGCTCCAGCTTTTAGTACCATTATGCACTTTAATATGGTATAGTGGTATGCATATTGAAAGTATGAAAAAATTTTCCCTTGTCCTTAGAAATATGGATACTAGCAAAAATAAGTTAAAAAGAGGATCATGGCAAATAGTAAGACCATTCTGAGAAGATATTAACTGTTGCTTTCTAATACATCTGCTAACAGACTGTATGGGGTCTTTTTAAAAAATGTACTCATTTTAAAACAATCTCTTTAATAGTTTTATATTTATTCTTCTTTTCCCTGTCCCTCTTTTCTTCTCTCCCTCCCCCTCCTTACTTTCTTCACTTTGTTTTTCCTTCTGCTTTGTCAGAAAATATTCATGCAGCCCAAGGACCATTGCTAAAGAGTTTGTCTTTTGCCATGTCATATTTTGATTGCCTGGATAAAGGAATGATCTTTGAAAGTCTTTTAGATCCAAAAAGGATGTCTTAGAATGTTGAAAGAGCAATTTGAACAAGCAGGAGTGGATTCATTTAGTCAAACTCTAGGTTAAAAACATCAGGGAAATTTGATTAGAGTGGGCCACATGATTAGATAGGAAAGGGAATTGATAAATAAAATTTAGTTTTTCTAAAGAAATGTTTTAAACCATATTTACTAAATATTATATTCTCTACATTGAAGATTTTGGAGTATAAAACAGATTTATAAAGGTGTGCTATGAGTCCTGAAATATACTGAGAAGCAAGTTCTAAGAAAATATTATATTTTACATAAGAAACAAATAAGCTTTAATGTAACACATTGTGGAAATCATAATATAAGCAGCCAGAGGATGAAAAACTTCTCATTCCAAATGGCTTTTAATTAAAAAGAAAAAGAGAAATCTACTTTCACCGTAATCTGTATTAGAAGATTAGCATTGGTGGATGTACTGCTCAGAACTCCCAGACCTCCCCTTCTTATCCTCTTTCCTGTCCTTTGCAACCTGTTTGACCTTGGTGCTTTCATCACTATGTGCATTGTCTAATGATCTAACAGTTTTAAATTCTGTATTTATTTTTTGGATTTTTAAAAAAATACCTTTTAAAGACAGTTTTGTGTTCAACTTATGTTAGATGATTTATTTTAAATTTAATGACTGCAAAAACGTGCATTTCTTTACTCTAAAGACATCATGGGATTTCACTGCCATATTTAAAAAGTTCAAATAAACAAACTGCCAAAATACTACCACCTTAGAAATAATATAGCTGTGGGAGAATGTTACAGACTGCTGAGCCAAAAGACATCCAAATTGTACAAAGGCAAGCTATTTGTCAAGAAAGATACTTGGATCATCCTGATGAAATGAATTACTGACCGCTCTCATAATTAAAATCAAGTGCAACCTGGACTTAATTTTGCCCAGCAAGGAAAAGCTAATTGGTGGTGGAGAGGGGATTGGAATGGCAGGAGAAAGCACCTTTGTCATCCTCAACTTGGACTTGGCACATGAGGTGAGTCACAAGCAACTTGTTACTCATAGTAAGAGCAAATTGTGACTCATCTAGTTTCTAAAAATACCTAAGTTTGAACATAGGGTTATTCTGATGATATCACTGCTCTTATGTTCTTACAAGTATGTGCTTCCTTGAGTGGGAGGGAAAGGCTGATATTGTAGCAAGCAGCCTGGAATTCCACATGAGCAGCAGTCTATTTTTCACTATCACTATATGCTGGTGGCTCAGATGGTAAAGAGTCTGCCTGCGATGCAGGAGACTGGGGTTTGATCCCTGGGTCGGGAAGATCCCTTGGAGAAGAGCATGGCAACCCACTCCAGTACTCTTGCCTGGAAAATTCCATGGACAGAGGAGCCTGGCAGACTACAGTCCATGGGGTTGCAAGCAGTCAGATACAACTGAGCAACTGACATATATGCATTGTGAAGAGCAGTCATAAATAATATATAGTAATATATCTGGTAACTAAATATGATTACAATATTTTACTTTCAGACAAAATATATTTGAAGTTGTAAAACTTGGAATACATGGTGAGGGTGTGTCACTCGTGAGGCTATCATCAGTGATGTGCTGTGACATAAAAAACTTGAGAACACCAAGCAAATTGTTCATAGTGTCCGGAAAAGCAAACCCTGAAGAGAGTCAGAGAGATGCCTTGGGAAACTTTTGCAAAAAGTTCAAAGAAGAAACTTTTGACCCAGGGACTTGAATCCAAAAAGGGATTATGGCTAACAAAGAGAGATTTTAAACACACACACACACACACACACACACACACACACACACATTCCCTTCCCAGGGGATCTTCCAGACCTAGGGTTCGAAGCCAGGTCTCCTGCATCGCAGGCAGATTCTTTACCAACTGAGCTATCAGGGAAGTGCAAGAACGCTGGAGAGGGTTGGCATTTCCTACTCCAGGGAATCTTCCTGACCCGGGGTGGGACCCACATCTCTTGCTGTGGCAGGTGGGTTCTTCACCACTGCACCACCTGGGCTTCCCCAAGTTATGTATGGTTATTGCTGAAAATGCCAGCATTAGGTTACTCTAGTGAAAGGAACAGAGCAAAGAAGGCAAGTGGTCTGTTATCCTCTGCATTAATAGACCATTTCTATAGGATTAGATTTAATTTGGGGTGCCAAATTTAAGTAATTATGAACCTTGATTACAACTATGGGCTATCTATTAGAAAGCAACTAAGATCACCAAGCATTTGGTAACTTTATCATGCGTGAAAGGGGTAAGGATCTGGAGCACAGACTCTGAGGAGACCAGACTAGCTTAGTGCAGCACAAGGTGCTGACTCTTCCCTGGAGGACTGTGTTTAGGACCATCTGCTTGGGTTGTTAAAATGGAGGCTACTAGGTTCTACAAGTAGAAATGTGAATTCAGCAGCCTGGGGTCTTGGGAACTGCACTTTGATACTCAACCCAGGGGAATGACGAAGGTGATGTAATGACTTTGAGAAACACTGTTTTGTGCAATGGATATAGAAGCAATATTGGGATGACAAAGAAGCAGAACTACTCCACATTAAAAACAAACTTTTTTTTTTTTTTTGCTAACAGAATTAGAAAACAGTGGAGTAAGTCATATTGTCATAATATTACTCAGGACTTTCATAGATATTCCAGAAGTCAGGAATGATGAAAGATACCCTAAAGGACACTGTGGACTAAAAACTTCAATCATTTGGACTGTAGCAGAAAGAAAGGAATATCAATAAAGTTGTATCCTTTGGTTTCAGTGGAAGAGAATGCTAATATTTGTATTAAGTAGCCTCTTTTGTTTAATTATAATAAACTTTATTTCATATGTAAACATCCGAGTCTTAATTTGTTTAAATAGTGGAAAAATTAGGCTACAGACTATTGGGTAGGTTTGTGTTGTCCTCTTTTTATGAAATTAATTTCAACTAAGTGGTTGGATGCAGCAGCAGCAGCAGCTAAGTCACTGCAGTCGTGTCCGACTCTGTGCGACCCCATAGACAGGAGCCCACCAGGCTCCCCCGTCCCTGGGATTCTCCAGGCAAGAACAGTGGAGTGGGTTGCCATTTCCTCCTCCAATGCATGAAAGTGAAAAGTGAAAGTGAAATCGCTCAGTTGTTTCCGACTCTTCACGACCCCATGGTGTGTAACCCACCAGGCTCCTCTATCCATGGGATTCTCCAGGCAAGAAACCCATTTCATTCTCCAAAGTGGTTTGATGAGAGTCACTGTAATTTTTCTTTTCCTTGATATAGGTTATAACACAGATGACTCATTCCTTAACTGTTCAGAAAAAAAGCCCAATATTTTTATGAATTAATTTAATATAATTTATAAACACAGTTAAGTCCTTACAGCAAAGCAGCAATTTTCCAATCATTGGCATTATTTTAATATACCATTTATTAAGTGTGCTAGTTTTTATCTTAAGGAATTTCCAAAGTATTTAACACTGTGACAATATAAGGAGGTAAATTCTTGAAGTAATTACATAGATATCCACTGATGCTGGGTTTCTTATCATATTCTCTGTGATTCCTAGGGACAAAGAAAGAAGGGTAAAAGTACAGAAGAATTTTGAAAGAAAGCATCTCAAAAAACAAGATAGCAATCTGGAGGAAAACGGTAGCCACCTGAATCCTGTTGTTTCCATGCATTTGTCCCTCAAAAGAATCTATTAGTTTAACTAAAAATTCAAAACCCCTTCATGTGACCACATTTTTAGCATTAATAAGAGCTAGAGAATACCATGAAATTCGCAGTGTTTGTAAGAGAAATAAACATCAAATTCCAATTGCCATTGCTGCAAGCCTGGAGAGCAAGAGAAGAAAGAGAAGGAAGGTGAGAGCCAAAGGACCCCATTTAGGAATTATAGATCAGATGTGTGTTTGCTCAGTCGCTTCAGTTGTGTCCGACTCTGCGACCCTACAGACTGCAGCCCTCCAGGCTCCCCCGAGCATGGGATTCTCCAGGAGGAATACTGCAGTGGGTTCTCCAGGGGATCTTCCTGACCCAGGGATCAAGTGTCTCTTGTCTCCTGCATTGGCAGGTGGCTTCTTTACCACTAGCACCACTTGGAAAGCCTATAGATCAGAGAGTAAAACGTTAAGTAGTGGGGGGGATGGAGAAGGCAATGGCACCCCACTCCAGTACTCTTGCCTGGAAAATCCCATGGATGGAGGAGCCTGGTGGGCTGCGGTCCATGGAGTCACTGAGTCGGACACGACTGAGCAACTTCACTTTCACTTTCCACTTTCATGCATTAGAGAAGGAAATGGCAACCCACTCCAGTGTTCTTGCCTGGAGAATCCCAGGGACGGGGGAGCCTGGTGGGCTGCTGTCTATGGGGTCGCACAGAGTCAGACACGACTGAAGTGACTTGGCAGCAGTGGGGGGAAGATTTAAAGGCATTTAAAAAGATTCTTTAAAGCAACAAAAACAAAATGCATGCCTTCCTTAAAAAACAAGGGAAATTAAGACAAACAAAAAGGCAAGCAAGCCACCAAGTGCAGAAAGATTAAAACCATTACTCTTTAAAGACAACGAAAAACATCCTCAGGGCCTCCAAGCAAAAAAATCAAATTAGTTATAAGGTTAAGGAAATTAGGCTACCATTGGACTTCTAAAAAGCCACATATAAAACAAACTACAACAGAGCTGTATTTTCAGAAAATTCAAGGAAAGAAGATACAGTCTACTACTATACCATCTTGAATGCGTCCGATCTCATCTGATCTCAAATGCTAAGCAGGGTCAAGCCTGGTTAGTACTTAGACCAGAGAAAATGCAGGCCAAAACTCTTCTATACAGCTATGCTGCCTTTTAAGACTAGGAGAGATAAAAAACTGTTTTCTCTATTTCCTAAGAGGTTTAAACTTTGTGACTCGAAATTTAGTGGTTTAAAGCATTATATTTTGCACATGATTTGGTGGGTGAGGAATTTGGAAAAAGCTCTACTGGTTGGTTCATTTCTGATCCTATGGTGTCAGCTGGGATAAATTGGTTGGATGATACACTTCAAAGATGGCTTCTCCAAGCATGTCTGGTGCCTTGGTGGGAATGAGGCGTGGAAGGCTGAGTCCCTTCCCTTCCCTGTGGTTTCAGGGCTCTGCACGTGGTCTGTTGTGGTCAGACTCCTATGTGGTGGTATGTCATATCAATGGTATTTGACATTTCCTAATCACTGATCTGTGATATCAGAATATTGTGCATAAAGGCAGTATTCACCAATTTTTATTTTCCTCAATGTTTTTATTAAAAATGAATGTTGAAATTTTTCAGAGGCTTTTTCAGAAAAATGGATGCATTAATATATTTGTATTAATAGATTTTCTAACATTGAATCATCTTTGCATTTCTTTATAAACCCTTCTCATTTTGAGATAATTATAGATTTACATGTAGTTGTAATTGGGGAAGTGTGGGGATATCTCTGTTCAGCCCAGAAAGGGTGAAAATCCAGGGTCCCCAGTTGGTGTTTGCTGGCATGGGGTGGGGGTGGGACCCAGGTTTTTCTGTGATTTTTGTTGGAGGAGGGCACTTATTATCCAGATGATTTCCATCTTGCTAGGCTATGATTTCTAGTTCTTTGGTTAAGAGAGCCGGTTTTTGTTCTTATTGTGTTTGTCTATGCCTATTGAAATTTCTGGATTGCCAGCTTCAGTTCCAAGTGTGGGATACAGAAAGTAAAAAGAAAACCCAGGGAACTCACCATCATGTCATTCCTTGGGTCTTCTTTCCACCTTTCAGTTTTCTTATGTTTGATTTATATATAAAGTCCAGGGTTTTTAATTGTACTGAACAGAAGAAATAAAGATAAGCATGTTTATCCTATCTTTCTAGGAGTGAAGTTTCCCCTCAAATATCGTTTGAATATAGTCCTTTATATATACTCTGTCTAGGGGGAGAAAATGACCCACAAATGAATGTTGAATTCTTTTTTTTCCCTCAGATTTGCTTTTCAGAGTATTAGAGGAGTAGCAATTCTAAAGCTATTTCTTATGAGTTGTAGGAATAAGTAAATGAATGAATGGGTTCATATTCTTGGAAACCAGGATTTTTACTGTGCAGAAAGATACAAATACAGGATAGGGACAGGCAAGAAACAACCTTGTGAGGTGGATTAAAATTTGAAATTGAAGGTATGAACTGATTATTTCACATCTATCTATCAATATTGTCTGTCTGTGTACATATGTTTTTCCTCTCTTAGCACTGTCTTTTGAACAGTTAGAAGCAATTACACTCCAGTAATAATGAGCACACCCAGCACCAAAGTCTCATTTTCTGATATTATGCCACACTCAGAGAAACCCACGTTTCCTTGGAGAAATAGCTGATTTCAAGACTGTGATGGGGAAGATGACCTCTTTTTGTGCCGGAATATTAGGATGTACTCAAATGATAGGTCAATAAATCTAGCTTGAAGGCTCTCCTAGCCAAAACTGGAAAAATTTAAGCAAACAGAAATAAAGACAGTGATAGTTTATAAGCCACTGAATAAAATAGAAATCCATGAGTCATTACTGATAGTTTATAGTAGACAGTAGGTAGTTATTAGGTAGATAGATAGATAGGTAGGTAGACAGAGGTGTGAAGTGAAAGCTCTTTCTTATAGCAGAAAGCTGACTGATAAATCAGGAGTCACCATTTTGTAATCATTATGGTAAAGGTGGTTTGGGTGAGAATCATCAATGGGTAATAAATCCAGGGGAACTTTTTGAGGAGGATCAGGATATTTTCATGGTCTCTAAATGCCTCCCCACAGCTTGCTCACTGCTGCAATGGGAAAAAAATACTTACTATACAGTGGATGAGCAGAATCCTTTGACTGGATAGCAAAATGAATGTCACTGATGGGAGACACCAGACATAACCTGCCCCTATATCATTTCATGAGAAGGACACAATATCACTTATGTAGTGTTTCTGGATAGGGATGCAATAGACTGAATCTAATCATGAGAAAATAGCAGATAAACCCCAATTGAAGAACATTCTCAAAAATAATAAGAATTATTCCAAATTAAAGGAGAACAAAGACTGAATAACAACTAAATGCAATATATTATCCTGGACTGGATAGTGGACTTTGAAGTGTAAAAGTATGTAGGAGATTATTGAAATAATTGATGAAACTGGGATAAGGAAGATTGATTAGGTAAGAGCAATATATTAATATTAAATTCTCTGAATTTAATAGCTATACTAAGGTTATAAAAGAGAAAAAGGTCAATATTTATGTTCCTTGTTTAGTAACTAAGTCATGTCTGACTCTTTTGGAGACCCCGTGGACTGTAGCCCACCAGTCTCCTCTGTCCATGGGATTTTCCCGGCAAGAATACTAGAGTAGATTGCCTTTACCTTCTCCAGGGGATCTTCTCAACCTAGGAATTGAACTCTGGTCTCCTGCGTTGGCAGGCGTATCTTTGCCACTGAACTACCTGGGAAGCCCATTTGTGTTCTTAGGAGATGCCTATATACTATTGAAGAGTAGAGGGGGGTGCTGTGTTATGCTTTATGCAGCCCAGACCTCAACATTTGTTTGGAGGAAACAAGAGATTGGTAGTGCACACGTGGCAACATGCCAGCAACTGGTGAGTGTGGATACAGGATCTTTTGGAGTTCATTTGCAACCTTTTTGTGTGTTTGAAATTGTTTCCAAAAATAAGAAAAATTATTTTTAAAAAAAGGAAAAAAAGAAATACAGGCTAGTTGATCAAAGATTAGAATGAATGAGGAAACAGAAACCCAGCTAAAG